CTGACGGGGGTCGGTGGCTGTCCTCCCCGATACGCCTCCTGCTCCTCGACCCATCTGGGGTCTCTGTCCCCCTGCCTGATCCGAGCGACGGTAGGGTGCCGCCCTCTGTGCTCCACTGCTACTAGCACCCGTCCGGATCGGACCTCCCCTCATAAGGCCCTGTCGTCGCTGAGTATCCTCCATGTCCTTCTCTACAAGTGCAGCTCTGTCCACCAAATCCCCGTAGTCCCGGATCCTGAGAGCCACCAGCTTCTCCCTAATGGCAGGCCTCAATCCCTGCTCAAAGCGTTTGGCCCTGTTGGCCTCCGTAGATATGAACTCCGTAGCATAGCGGGATAGCTCATCAAACTTCCTCTCGTATTCAGCTAAAGTCAGGCTGCCCTGTCGTAGAATAAGAAAATCGGTCTTCATTCGATCTCGGACCGATTCCGGGAAGTACTTGTCTTGGAAGACTTGATCAAACTCCGCCCAAGTGAGAGCATCCGTGTTCATTTTCCTTTTCACCGAGTCCCACCAATGGTCGGCTTCCCCCTCCAACAAATAGATAGCCAAGCCAACCCGCAAGTCCTCGGCCACTCCCATTCCGTCCAACATCTTCTTCACACGGCGGATCCATTTATCCGCATCCAAGGGATTGGAGCTCCCTTGGAAAGTAGGTGGGTGTTGCCTCAGAAACTCTCGGAGAGCTACCATTCTCCTAGTCTCCTCTCCGTTGCCCGGTACTTGGGCTAAAGGATGTGCTCCACCATTATGGTTGTGGTGGTTGTTGTTACCATTTTGGTTTTGTACCAAAGTGGTGAGCTCCCTCAAGCATTGGTATATGCCATCCATGGCATCGGGAGGTGGTGGTGGTGGTGGATATGTTTGACCTCCACGGCCACGGCCACGCCCACGTCCACGTCCACGTACACGTTCACCGTCCATCCTGCACATCAATTCACAATTTAGTTTCATTGATGTACAAGACATACTAAAATGATATGTAGGATGTCTTGATTTAAGCACAAGGCATATACAAAAATTAACTCAACCATTTCCTGCACCCTAAACCTACATCTCTAGTGGTAGTCCATAACCTACAGCTCCCATGTAAGACCTAAAGCCTAGGCTCTGATACCAAACTTTGTAACGCCCCAAATACCCCCTCGGACGGCATTACATTCTAAAACCTTTCACAATCATGAGAGCACTAAATAAATCCATAAATAAGAAATTTTTATCCATCAACCATTGATATTTTAACAAAATTCGGGCAGAGTCTCCTTTGTACGGGGAGCTCTACCACAAAATCCAACCTGTGCAATTCTACTATAATGACCACACCGGGTCCAATTAACTACTATATAATCAATCCATCAAATTTACATGTTAACCCAAAAAAAATATGCCCACAATGGCATGTACATTCCCAAAGAATTAAACTATGATAAGCAGCGGAATTTCAAAAGATAACTAGACTTTACAATCTTTCAAAAAAAACATAGCCTAGTCTAGAACAAAATAGAAGGGCCGCTCTAGGCGTCCACCTCGGGATCTACGCTCCCGTCGATCGGAGTCTCCCAAAGAACGGGCTCCTCGACTCCTGGCTCCTCCTCAAGGATATAGTCTGAAAAATGTTAACAGTAGGGGATGAGCACTAGGCTCTGTAGCAAAATCTTCCCAACTCCAACAAGGTTTATAAAATACAAAACGGGTCGGTCACATTTCATAAATAACATATATGAATTTGAAGTAAAACGGGACATTTTAAATAGATCTCAAGTTTAAGCCATACAGTAGTTAAGGAGAGAAATAAATTAAGTTTAACCATAGCAAACCATTTCCAACATTAAGTCAATTAGGAGGGGCTCCCTCCGATGCATCGTCCCATACCAATGCACCGGCCAAGCCATTCCAGCCAATCATCACATTTATGTTGGTTCATCCCCGTACCATGTATGTTGATTGTTTCTCATGAATCTACCCAACGATTATACCTAGTCCACCCATTTATAATCACAATCACAAGTACTTAGGGAAGGGGCGTCTACCATCCCAATGGCAGTGACGAGTCCCTCCCCAGGAATGGTATACCAACCCTAGTTCGAACTCCAGGCGTACGATAGTGGTCGCATTACCAAATGACAACTCACTACAAGTGCAAGAAACCATCTCCCCCCCACTGGGTTCAACTGACATTTACACTCTACGGCATATCTCGTAGGTAATCCAAGTCCCTCCCAACCACCATACAATGAGTAAACCAACATATTCTCAATCAATTCACATTTTACCAATTAATCGCAAAATACCCAAATTTCACAAGTAAAGCGTCATAGCAAGATGGAATTAAAATGAGCAAAAGATCAATATAAAGATCATTTTCGTTGAACAATATCGAACACTAAATTTATAAAGTGAGAACCAAGGCAATATATGGAGAAAACTCAATTTTTCTTAAAACCAAGTTTGGAAGATGAAAAAGAGAAATTTAATGGTTACCAAACCATCCCATTATTCAAACATAGCATTTATTACAAGGAGAATTAAGAATCATACAAATCATATCAAATAAATATGGATGGGAGTGGAAAACATATGTATATACATAAACCCTAGCCTCAATGTAAGAAATTAGGAAGAAATCCCCTACCTCTTGGTTGTAGCTTCAATCTAAGACCCAAGATTCAAAATCTTCCTATTCTCCTTCCTTTTCCTCTTAATTTCGTCCTCCTAGGGTTTCTAGAGATTTGGGTGTGAGTGGTTGAGGAATAGAAGCAAAAGAAATGGGTGGAGAAGAGAAAACTTGAGAAATTCGGTTTTGATCTTTATGAGGTGGGAATCTCTCTTGAACTTGGTGTTTTTCTCTCCCTTTTCTCTTCTCTTAGGGCTCTAAGGTATTTAGAGTGGAAGGGAAATGAAGAATGGGAGAAATAGGGCTTGGAATGGGTGTTTTAAAACCCAAAAATCCCGACTTTTACTGTTTATCGTCTGTTTTGGGGTTTTCCAGACTTACTGTTTTCCTTATTTTTGATCATGATAAACTTTGAATCTGAAAAAGTGCAAAACATGAAAGTTGTAGATCTAGATGTCTTCTGCATTGTGTCAAAATTTCAGCTCAATCGGACCATTGTAGCAAGAGTTATGACGATTCTACGACAACTGGTCCGGAGTAGGCAATGTACCCGGAGCAGCGCCCATTTGGGCGCCCCTTTTCACTTCCAATCCTTCCAACTTAATCCTAACTTATCCTACATACTTTTCTACATCGACCTAATTAGTTCAAGTTCTTTTATGATTTATTTTGTACATTTTCATACCGAAACTAATCTTTTAACTACTCTTTCCTTGAGTTATACTATTTTATCATTTCAAATGAAATAATTACTGAACACCTATGTCTTTTATTTTTTTTTTTATTTTTTTTATTTTTATTTTTTTTTTTTTAAACGCATGTGGGGTATTACAAATTTATATTTAAACATCACTGGATAAAATTATCACTTGATATTAATTTGATAAAATTGAATTTTAATAAGTAAAATTGAAGTTAAATTTGATGTTAATTTGATGAAATTGAATTTTGACATGATTAAATTAATGGTCAATTTGGTGTTAATTTGATGAAATTATAAACTTAACAGCGATATATCCCAATTATTATTTTTTGGAATATATCGCAATTATTATTATTTTTTAGAATATATCAAAATTATTATTTGGAATATATTGAATTTATTATATTTTTTTATCTCCAAAATATTTGTGATCTATCTAAAGGTTGCAATAGTATCTCCCAATTTTTTTTTGAAAAACAGTAAGTTTTTGATCGATCACAAATGTATATGATCGATCACAAGTCAGTAGAGTGAAATTTAGTAAAATTGTGGGCAATTTTTCACAATTAAAGACAGATTTATCTCCTTTGAGGGTCAATTTATGACAATTATGAATTAATTTAGAAGTTTTAAAGTTAATTTACGACTATTCTAATTAATATTACGACTCAATGTGCAACTACTTGATCGATCGATCAATATTACTAATTGATTACAAACCCACAAAATATAGTTCTGGTACCTCAAATGATGGTAAAAGTTTACCACTATTGTAGTAATTTTGCCATTGCTGTAATAAATTGTCCATTGATGTTGTAATTTTGCTCACTATTGTTATAAATTTTTCACTAATGTTGTAATTTTTACCACTATTATGGTAATTTTTGCTCACCAATCTTGAAAATTTTTCATTATTGTTGTAATTTTATTCACTATTGTTGTAACTTTTTCACTATTATAAGTTTGCCCTCAATGTGCAACTGCTTGATGGATCGGTCAATATTAGTGATTGATCACAAACCTACAAAATATAGTTCTAGTACCTCAAATTATAGTAGAAGTTTGTCACTATTGTAGTAATTTTTGCCTATTACTGTAATAAATTGTCCGTTGATGTTCTCATTTTGTCTATTATTATTGTAATTTTTACCACTATTGTGGTAATTATGTCCACTACCCTTGTAAATTTTTCATTAAAGTTATAATTTTATTCACTATTGTTGTAAATTTTTCACTAATGTTATAATTTTGTCCTTAATGTGCAATTGTTTGATAGATCAGTCAATATTAGTGATCGATCACTAACCCACAAAATATAGTTTTGGTACCTCAAATGGTGGAAATAGTTTGCCACTATTGTAGTAATTTTATCTATTACTGAAGTAAATTGTCCATTAATATTGTAATTTTGCTCACTATTATTGTAAATTTTTTACGAAGTTGTAATTTCTACCACAATTGTGGTAATTTTGCTCGCTACTCTTGTAAATTTTTCATTAATGCTGTAATTTTATTCACGATTATTGTAAATTTGTCCATTAATATTGTAATAGCAGCTTTTCGGTATCATAGACAACTCCCTAATCTATAGAGGTCAAATTATGTCCTATGAAGTGTCATCTTAGATGAGTCATCTATGCACAATCTAGCGTTACAACTTTTTTGGGGGAAAGTAGACTGAGCATGTGGCCAGTAACTTGTACTCTTGATGTCCACAGGTTTTCAAAATATGGCTATGTGCCTCTGACAGTATGATGTTTTGATGTCTTTGGATTTGGCTGCAGGATTCACGATCTGTTGGGGCTTTAGCAGGGCTAGCAGTAGCAATAGTTTTTACCTGGAGACTATTAAGATCAGCTAGTGGACCTCAACGAAGGCAACCTAAACGGCAAGCTGTGACCCCTAGTAGATCTAGTGTAAGTATGAACTCAAATTCAAATGTGGTAGCTTCTGCAGTGTGCCCACCTTCAGAAGATTCAAGAGCCCAAAATGTGATTGATGAGTTTTTCCTGCCAGTAAAGGTAGTGGTCATCACGATTTACCCTTACATGTATGGTATACTACCGTAAATCGATTTGCTAGCATCTAAAACTTTTCCCCTTCCCACTGCAGCCAACTCTGGGGCAAATAGTAAGGCAGAGGTTGAGTGAAGGTATCTTTTTATTTGCTTCATACTTCTGGTTTCTTTCTTGGTATTGCTGTTCATATTAAGTATGAGTTGGTTTTTTGTGGACTAAGATGTTCTGGCCTTTTCTGATAATAATATGATATATTCACACTCCTCTTTTCAGTTGCAGTACTCTGGCTACATTTTGTGATGTCCATTGGAGCTAAAGTGCTGCAATCAGAAGGAGAGTGCAAATGGCATTTCCTTAATGTTATTTCTAGCAAGTCGGATATTTATCTATTCCGAGGCTGACTGTAGTTTGTTGATTTTAAAAAGGGATTTCCTAAGAGCCGAATAAATACTGGTATTATAACAATATTTGACCATTGGCATCCATTTGGACCATTCCTTGGGCTTAGAGCTCGTCAAACAACAAAGATACATTTCAAGGGTTCTATTAAGCATTTTTTTTTGACCCTCTGTTTGGGGGTGATAGGCGGAGTTAAAATTGAATTTCAACCCATTCAACTGAAATAACTCCTTCCAAAAAGCACCCATAAAAATCAGATTTCTATCTCCTGCTATGGTCTCCAGCATACCTATAGCTTAAAGATTTGATCAAAAAATATTTGAGCTACTGTAGAGATGGTGTAAGGATGAACAATAGGAATGAAGTGACCAAATTTAGATAGCCTATCGACTACCCCAAAAATAGTGGCCTTACCCTTGGAGTTAGGGAGTCCATCAACAAAGTCCACGGAGATGTCAGTCCAAACGTGCTTGGGTATATATAGCAGACTCAAGAGACCAACAGGCTTAGTGAGCTCAGCCTTATGCGTTTGATAAACCCCACATTCCCGTATGAAATTTCGAACTCCACCCTTCATTCCCTTCCAATAAAAACTAGCTCTAATGCGAGGTAATATCTTATGAGGGCCCTCATGTGTGGTGGAATGATACTCATGTATTATGGACGGAAATAAAGAAGATTTTTCTCTTAGATAATTCAGTTTTTAAAGAAAAGAATACCTTCTTTGGAAAACCCATGGTCTGAGTGCCTCCCCCTCTAAGATTTTCTTGACCAACTCTTGTAATTCAGCTTCATGTTTCACTTCAGTTATAATAGGCTCTAGCCAGTGCAGAATTGGTTGAGAGAGAGCCTTCAATTCGACTTCGAATCTTCTTGATAATGCATCTGCCACCGAGGTCTCCTTTCCTCTTTTGTACTCTATTTTGAAATCATATCCCATCAATTTAACTAGCCATTTTTGTTGGGTTGTGGTGGTAATTGTTTGATCCAAAAGGTATTGTAAACTTCATTGATCCGTCCTTACTACAAATTTAGAGCCTAACAAATATGGTCGCCATTTTTGTACTGCGCTAACTATGCCAACATTTTCTTCTCATAGGTTGAGAGGGTTAAGCTTTTTCCCTTAAGGGCTTGGCTAAAGAAAGCAATAGGCCTATTTTGTTGCATTAAGACTGCTCCAAGGCCTGTACCTGATGCATCATACTCCACTACAAAAGACCCTTGTGTCATAGCATTCTTGAGTTTTCTGAAAGGACTCTTTGGCTGGTGATATATCCATATCAATTGGAGGGTCCAATGGTTCACAAAAATTCTTCTGTATACTTGGTACACGAGATTCGTATCTCTTTTAGAGTAATGGGAGGGTCAAATATGCAGTCTTGTTAGCGCATGTAGAGTCTGCAACTCAAATCCGTGACGTGTTGATATTTTCACAATTGTAGTATAAAAAATAATTTTGCAAATCCTTTTTTTTTCTTCTTGTGATAGTGCTCTTTAATTGTTTTTAAATTCAACGTAAAATAATTAGATACAATTAGTCATGTCTTTTTTAAAATAATTTTTTTAAGTAAAAAAATATTTATTACTATAGTTTATGAAGTTTATATAGATACCTCATAATTTATAGGATAAATTACACTTTGTACCTTGCGAGATTTTAAGATTCTCATTTGATATCTTCAACAATTAAATTTTTCACATTACACCCTTAATGTAACCAGAATGTTGTGTAATGTAACATTTCTGTTAGTTTTTTCGTCAGTGTCAATGAATTGGCTTTTGAAAAGTAATACAAGTCTATGCATGCTTGTATACATCAACATATAGGAGATTAAACTGGAAGAAAGATATTACACTTGGACAAGGGAAAAAAAACCATCTTATAAAAATAAAAAAAATAAAAAAAAGATGATGCAAAACTAACTTAACAACTCATATCACAATCGACCTTTATTTGAAGTTCTTCAGTTCAACACTCAGGAGACAGCATAAAGATACATAATTGCATGAAGGACCAACAGTAGTATTTTTCAAGAATTAAACAAATGTTTACCTGACAACCCATGTTATTCAGATCAAAGAATACAGATTCTTCAGTAAAATGAATCACCAATTTCAGAGAGTTAAACCCTAACCCCCCACCCCACACCAAAAAAAAAAAAAAAATTAAATAAAAAATAAAACTGGAAAGAAAGCCTTTAATTAGTTGATAAAGGCACAGCGTTTCCTGATTTCACCAGACTTACCAGTAAGAACCCCAATCTTACCCATCTTCACCATGGCAGGTCCAAAGTCTTTCAAAAAAGTGGATCCACTTGAAATCTGACTCAGAACATAAGCTTTTGTTTCACTGTCTGAGAGAAGAGCTCCATCAGATTGAAACAGTCCTCTTCTTTTACTCACTATACTGTAATAATGAGTGTCAAATGTTTTGCGGCTTCCAGGATCCATCTCAACCAGCGTAGTCAAATCGCCCGGTTTACATATTTTTTTCAACACAGCTGCATAGTTCGGATCAATTGTTGGGTCAGTGTCACCTTTGCCAGTGAAGTTGTACAATCGGATCGTGACGGCGGGAAAGCAGTGAGAGATCCCTATGGTATGGGCTCCTGTAAGAACAAGTATACATGAGTCAAGTTAAAATTTGATATAGAAAATTATTGATCCTGGAGGACTTTGATCTGTAGTAAGTTTTACTTTACCAGATAGAACTGCAAGGTCTTTTACACTCAAACCCTTTGAGGCAAAAGATGCTTGTAGTTGAGTTATATTGGAAAATGGAGATGGTAAGTTATTCAAGGCATTTTGGGCCGTTGACACTCTTCCATCCCTTCGTCCCGTGGGCACTGGCCAAAATGGTCCTTTGATCTGGAAGAAAATCACAGGTTTAGTTAATAGTTGCATAAATGTTGGTTTAAAATAATATAGGTATCATTTCGTAACGCTTTATAGGAAAAAAATTTTCTTAAAAATTTTTATTTAAAATAAAACGTTATCAAATGATATATAGTAACTAGTACTAGTGTATGGTATTTGGTTACCATGGAAACTGCATCTCGAGCAACTAAGGCCAAGATGTCAGCACAAGAAACAACTCCAGGACACTCTTTTTCTACTGCAATTTTGACACCATCAATCACTTGAAACCCTCTTAAACTTAAGTCGGGGGCTGAATCTTTCTCGGCTACGTTGTTCTTGGTGGAGTTTATGAGAACAGAACCATCACATCCCTGCAACCAAAATGTGTGAAAGATTCATCATATAAAACTATAAACTATAATCAGGGTTGGGAAGAACATATTATATATATATTTGTTATTGTTATCGCAAAGTGACTGATCTCATGTTTGAACCCAATACCTCAAAAAAAAAGAATAAGAAAAATGCAAAAACAAACAGAAAACATATGATTACGTTAACAAAACAGTCATGAAAATGCATTCTTAGCAATGCAGGGGCAAGGCTTGGTGCTCGAGAGATGTATTGAGCTGTTGTGTTCTTGATAATGGCCTCGGCGGAGGGGCAGGTCTGTTGGTAGAAACCAACTTTCAAGCCTTGAGCATTTGCAAGATCCAAGACAAAAAAGACAAGAGTGAGGTGAAAAAAGATGAGAGAGAGAAGCTCTGGACTTGTCATTGTCTTCAACCACGAGCCAGTAATGTATTTGATTCTGTGCTCTGAAATGCTAGAAAACACATCAAACACTAGTATTTATAGTTAAGCTGAGGGTTCAAGATCAATACCATGCTGCCATTGACACGGTTCAGGAAGTCATTGTTAATGTCAATTTGGTATTGCCTGAAATAAAATTGTTGACTTCTAACAAACTTTTAAAGAACTCTTAATTTTGAAGCTGGCAAGGCTTCATATTTAATTTTCACAACCTATCTCAATCAGATAGAAGAAAAAGAGAAGAAAAAAATCAGTAAGAGATAGAAGCTCTACCAATTATGTGTAAGAGATAAATGTAAACTGGTGAAAAAAAACTAATTAACCATAAATAGTAATTCAAACGATAACAGAGACGAACTATAAATTTAAATATTTTAAGTTTGAATTTGTACAATTCTTTAGAACCAGGTCATAAAGAATTGTCCTAATTCTGGTGTGGTAATTACATTGGCTAAACCCGAATTTTGTCTGACTAGGGAGACTCGAATTGAAGACTAGAGAGATTACAATTTACTCATTGTTCAATCATTGAACCAACCTCTATCTATAGGTTAAAACATCCCTAATTCTACTCTCTTAACAACTAATAGGTCTTAAAATATAGTTGCTGGGTACAATACAGAGGTGTCATGTCAGTAATTGTAAGTTCGTGAGTTCTAACGTACAAAAATTATGTTGCGCAAATAATATCAAATTTTAGGTCTATCCTGAATTCATCCCTCTTAAAACCCAAGACTATATGGGTGTTAAACTGGGCGATAACATTCTCTTGCTACCTTATATTAATAAGTAAATTTTATTAGATAAAGGATTAATGACTTGATTACCTAAGTTAATATCCATGAAGTTAATGCTCCGTTTGGTAGGATGAACGGAAAATAAAAATAATTAATTTATTTTTTTTGTGCTGGTTAAGATTAGGGGTGACAATCGAGTCGTCTTATGTCAAATTCGTATTGAGTCATGGTGGATTTGTATCAAACATTAATCAAACCTAACTCAACTCATTTAACTAATTATGTCGTATCAAGTTGACTTATTTATTTTCGTATTGTTTTCGTGTTCGTATTCGTATTCGTGTTGACCTACATAAATTTTGAATAAAAAATTTATTGCTAATATTCTATTTTCACTTAATTGAATTCATGTTTATATTTTTTTACAAATTAAAAATTAACTTAAATAAATATAATAATAATAATAAGTAAAAATATCTTTTTTATATAATAATTATATCAGTGCTTAATAAATAATTATAAATAATTAAAATTTTATATCTATAATACTAATTAAACATGTTGACAGGTTTATATTTCTTGTTCGTGCATCA